TTAGTAAAATTGATGACACTAAATTTAAAAATGCAAAAACAGAAGGGTTGCCACATATTTAAAAAATAAAATTCACTTTAATTAAGGGAATAAGGTAATTTAAAAGGAATGTAATCAGAACAAATCACTGATTGACAATGTATGTATTTTTAATAAAATAACAAATATGATGTCGCAAACCTTTGGTTTAACATCTATATATCAATACGCTAACATAAATTTTGTCTCCGTTCGTTTGGCGATTCTACCGAACCGATTTCAGAACCAAGAACACCGTTGGAAAGGCATTTTTCCGTAAATGAGCAGGTTTCACAATTGGTTGAAAATTACGGCCAAAACCGTCGTTTAAACATTTTCGAATTGTGTATAGATGTTGCTGCAACATGTTAAATTTGACATGTTTCGCCTGTTGTTTCACTACACATTTGAAATTAAGCTTTGAAATAAAGATAAATATGAAGATGAAGAAATAAATGATAACGATGAAGTAAAAAAAAGAAGCCAGAAGTGAAGATAAAGACGAAAATGGAGACAATGACAGAATTAAGAATTAAGGTAACTGAAAGGGTAAGAACATTTCTTGAATTTATGAAGTGAAACTTCTTTAGCGGCAGTTCGTTGGTTGGGAGTAAATTGTCAAATTCAAGGGAAATAATGCACATGGAAATGGTTCTCAGCGGTTTAGCGGTTTGAGAATAAAAACAAAAACAAAGATGCCTAGAGGTACATGGCAAAAACGAAGATCAAAGTAAATTTAAACACTTTAAGGTAAAGGTGAAGAGGAATATGCAAAAATAAAGATAAATATGAAGAAAAGGATGAGGATGAAGATCGATATTGGTATTGATATAAAACTCGATATTATTATCGATGTAATAATCGATATTGCTATCGATAAAATAATCGATATTGTTATCGATACTGTTATTAATTAAATAACCGCTATTGTAATCGATATAATAATCAATATAATAATCGATATAGTTATCGATACAATAATGGATATTGTTATCGGTACAATAATCGATTAAATAATTGATTTTGTTATCGATTTAGTCATTTATATTGTTAACGATATGTACAATAATCGATACTGATGATTGTTATATTTATCGCTGAATTAATCGATTTTACAATCGTATTTTTCTATATGTGTATGGATATTGTTATCGGTATTTTTATCAACACAGTTATCAACAGGGTTATCGATACACTAATCGGAACATCGAATGTGATCACATTACATGACATCACATCACATTTTATCACATGATATGAAGAGACATCACATGATATTGCATCACATAATATGATATCACATCACATGATATCACGTGACATGACATTATATGATATGACATCACATTATATGGCATGACATCACATGACTTGACATCAGATGATATGACATCGTATGACATCACATAGCATTATATGATGTGGCATCACATGATATGACATCACATGGTATGACATCATATGACATGACATCAGAGGATATGACAACACATGACATGACATCCTATCACATCACATAAAATCACGTCACATCTTATCGCGTCATCGCACCTCATCTCATCTACGTGAATAGAAAAAGAAAAGGATATAAGCAAAGATGTGAAAGATAAAAACAAAGATGAAGACCAAGGTAAAGTTACCGATTTCAAAGCCAGAAACACCGTCGGAAAGTAATTTTCTGTAGATGAGGACAGTTTTTGTAGTTTCGAAATTGGTTGAAAATCGTCGTTTAAAAATTTCCATATTTGTTAATGGTTGTTTTTGCAACCTGTTCAGTTCAAGCGTTTCGCATTTGTTTTACTTCGTATTTGAAATTAAACTTTGAAATAAAGATAAATATGAAGATGAAGAAACAAGTGATAACGATGAAGACAAAAAAAAGGCAAAAGTGAAGATAAAGGCGAAAATTGAGATAAAGGCGAAAATGGAGACAATGAGAAATACATAAGAATTAGGTTAACAGAGCTGAAATTTTCCGATAGGAATCGAAATAAAATCAGCCATAAAGGTTACTGAAATTTATCGAATCATCGAAGTATATAATTATAAAAATTTATCCATGCTTATTAAGTTATCGCAACGTATCGAATTATTCAAACTGATCAATGTTTACTGAGTTGTCGAAATTTATAGACACAGAAACTTAGTTATCCAAATTTACGGATCGTTATCGAACTATAAAAACGTGTGGGATAAACGAAATTTGTCAAGTTAAAGAAATGTATCAAGTTATCAATATTTATTGAATTATCATTATTTATAGACTTAACGAAATATATCGAGGTGTCGTAATGCATGGAGTTCTTTCAACTTACAGAGTTATCGATAATTATTGATCTACTGAAATTGGTTGCTTCAACGAAGCAAAGTTTATGGAATTTTCAAAATAAATCGATTTATCGAAATTTCAAGGTTATATAAGCTTATCGATTTATCACTGCTTATCGCATTTAATCGTATTAACAGAGTGTAACGAGTTATCAAAATGTTTAGATAGTTTTCGAAAAATGTGGAGATGTCAAAAGTAAAAATTTATAAAGGTATCCAAAGTTTTTACATTTTTGAGTTATCTAAATTTATCGTGCCATCGAATTTCACAGTTATCGAAATTGGTCGAGTTAACGAATTTTGTTGAGTTATCGAATTTTAGTGTTCTTGAAATTCATCGAACTATCGATATGTATCAAATCATTGAAATTTATCGATAAACTTGAATGTATCAGGTCAATTCCAAGCCCTGCCGGAGTCCTCCAAAGACCTTCACAGATAAAAAAAAAATTTAGTTACGTTTTAGCAGAAGATTTTCCGGTTAGTTAATTTGTACCGTATAAGTTTTGCTGCGTGTTAAGTTAGAAATCCTCTCTCGAATTTCGACAGTAACTGGCACTCTAGTAATTATTATTTTAGTGTAACTAAATTTGACCTTACAAACAGGTGGCAACCCTCTTCGTAGTATTTGCAAGCTAAAACCTTATTAAACCTCTTTCGTCTGACTCTCATATGGTGATACCTGTCTATTTCAATTACCTAATTTCTTTAATTCCAATGCAATTTGATTTTTTAGCAGGTGACAACCCTCTACATGTAGTTCAGAAATAAACCCTTATCATACATATTTCGATTGATACCCATCTCTTAATAATTCATTTAACTTATTAAAAAATTCGAAATTTGGTTTTGAAACAGGTGGCAACTCTTTAAAAAAATAAACCTCTATTGTCTACAGGTCAAGCTTTTTAATCTGACACATCATTTTTAAAAATAGAACGAATTGTGCAGATCTGATGGCACTGACAGAAAATTAAAAAAATGATTTTATGCATTAGCATAAACGCATTACTTCAAAAAGTGCAAAACATGAGCCGATTTTTATTTCTTCTTTCGAAAGCTAAAAACCCGTACTATTTAATTAAATACTACTATCTATGTGGAAATAAAAAACGTCAAACCAACATTTTATTTCAAACATGTATTTTTGACATTTGTTTCTGCGAAGAGCTTACGCACGGCTGTGCTCATATTAATATTCTTCGTATAAAATCTGTCGTCTTTAGTGCCTTCCTGGGGCCTATTTCATAAAGCGACAGTGATAGTTTTGTAACGACAGGCATTTTCCATGTTGTCAGTGACAATTCGACAGTTTGCTGGGTGTTTTGTTTCATAAAAACAATTGTGACCTCTTAAATTCTATGAGCAATTTCATTGAAAAAGTGACAAATTGTCATTGTCGGGGTTTAAAATTGTCGTTTACAAAATTGTCGCTAGTCATATGAAATTTATATGTAAATCATGTGTAATAATTGAATTTGCATTATTTTAGTTTTAAGAAATATTCAAATTATTGAAATGTAATGAAATGCGCGCAATTACCATATAAATAAATTTACAAAACTCTCCTGTGAAAGCTTCCCACGGAGCTATTTGGCTTTGTCGCCATTGTCGCGACAATTTTGTCAGATTGACAGTTGTCAGCACAATTGTCGACAATATTCCATATTATTACTGTCGTTTTCCAAAAATTTTCACAGTTGCCTACAAACGTATGTATATGAAAAAGGAAAAATGTCGCCGCAATTCTGGCAGTGAAATTTTATAGAAAAATCGACACTTGTCGCACCTGTCACTTTTATGAAATAGGCCCCTGGCGGCATATAATTTATTTTGTATGGAAATTCGTATTTCATTCTTTTTAGTGGATAAATTACCTTTACAAAAATACCAAACACGTTCACATTGCTGACAACGAATTTTTCGATTTTTGCCCATTTAGGCGGCACTGTGCGCCCTTGCAAAGTATTGAAAGTAAAAAAAAACGTCGAACTTTCATAGTGAAGGCCACAGTTTATGTTTTATTTTACTTACGAGAAAACGGTTAAGCTGAAAATTTGGACAGTACTTACAACACGAAAATTAAATAGAAATTAACCAACATCAACATTAACTAAAACTTGTTTCTAACTTTAAAACATAGCAAAGCGTGATTTAACAAGGCTGCATAAAGATGATTTAATGTTGCTAAAATAGTATGTTCGCTAACAGCTTGCGCGAAAATTGCGTTTCGCAAAATAACCCAAAAACGAACTAAGTATCTTTAAGTAACTAGCTAATCCCCACTATGCACCAACCAGTTTACTCATAAGTATTTTATATGCGTACTAATGTAATTGTTTACTGGCATTAACGCTTCCACATTTACTTGTATCGCAATTTCAACTGAATGCGAAATTATTGTCGTTTTATTTCCACGCTTTTGTTTGTCACACGACCGCTACGCTTTAATGGCTGATCTTTAAACGCCACCTTGTATACAAATGTAAATGTGAATATACGTTGCTGCAATGATGATATGTATGTATGAATTCTCTGACGACCTGCGCTGATCTTCGTGGTGTGGTATATGTCAAATATATTCACCACTTCTACGATTTGTACAAACATCTCTTCCGATTTGACTCAACGTCCAACTATTCATCGTGCGCTAGATCTGTATCAAGAGACTGTAAAGCGCTTTACACGCTCCTCACTTTCGCCAGAAATGGACCACTACACATCGTCACGTAATTCAACCAAATCGACAACGACATCCCAGAAATCCGGGGATGGGGATCGCCGCACCTCTTGTAAGTTATCGCAAAAGCACGTGCAAATTTTTTTTGTAGGTGAGCATTGTTACTAGCGTGGCGTATGACGATTTGCCACGGCGATCATATCATGCGGCCACTCAATGCTCATCTACAAGTGGTTTTCTTATGTGTGTAAATTTTTAATTTGTTGTTTGTTAATTTTTTCTCTATATTTTTGTTTTTCATTTGTTGCATTTTCTGTGTTTTTTCCTTTTGATTTCTGCATTCGTGTTTCATTGTTTCCCCACGTTTTTTATGTGCTTTGTGTGAAAAGTCGATTTGTATTTTGAGGCCACAGGTCGACGCCGCAGTTCAGGTAAGCTGTTTATTAATTAACCGCCCAAAACCACCTAACACACAGATACCAGCTATCTGCCAGATTAACCAAGCTCGATTTAAAATTAATAACAAAATAATTTATAAGTTTTTTTTTTTTTAGTTTTTTTCCATCCACTCGCGCATTTTCTGCAGGCCCGCAGCCTATGAAAATCAGTGATTGCAACTTTCCATTGAGGTCACATTCGTTAGTCAATTGCGCGCATTGGTTTCGAAAAACAATTTATTTTAGCAATGTATGTATGATCTCTGTGCGCATAAAAAATACTTTCAGTTTTTTTTCTTCGCAGGTGTACATGTGTTTCGACATTGAGTTTGGCGAGTTTAATGCGTTGAACCCATATTTGTTTCGCAATTTTGCAATTATTTTCTGTAATATTCCAGTTTTTTGTCAGTTTCATTTAGCTGTGCACATATGCCAGTTGCTGCTGCACCATTGCGCTGTCAATGCCAACGAATTGCGGGTGTACGCGCCTTCGCAACGCATTTGCATCGCTGCAACAGATGTGTGCCACTTGTTGCTGCCTTAATTGGACAAAGCGCATGCGCTTATAAACTCGTATTACTTTGGTTGTTGTTGTTACAGCGCTGCGCTCAATTAATTCAGTTTACGATTCGCTATGGAATACAGTCTTATGTCTTAAGTATTCTCTGCACAGTCGCTTTATTCAATTCAAAACTTCGTATTTTGATGGCGCCTTCACACAGCGTCGCATGCTTGCTTACTTACATACGTATTAGGCCTGAAACGTTGACAAAAGTACAACAAAATTTATAAAAATGGGATTTATGTTGTGTGTATTTTCCATTTTGCTAGCCTTCACGAAATGCTTCGAAAATAAAGGGTGTACGCTACTTTGACTTCAATGAAAAGTACCTACTTCATTAAAAAATTTCACAACTTTTGAGGCAACAGGGTGTTCATGTTTTTCAGTTCTGATGCAACATCGCATTAAAACTTTACGACTGCGTCGAATAAAATTTACCGTTACATTTGCGCCAATTTTTCTTTACTTACTTAAAATCTTAAAAAACCTTAAGTTTTGAAACATTTTTTACTATGATGGCTTTTCAAAACCGTAAGCTTAACAAGAAAAAAATTGCAAACTCGAAGCTATTTGTTTCGTAAAAGGTCCACAAATAAGTAAATTGTTAGTCCCCTTTCAGACACGTCAAGTCTTGCTTTCAAGTCTGCTCGTTCGAAGGCGAAGGAGGTGAGAAGAGAGGGGAAGAGTACAGATACCTCCGTACCGTCAATTCGTTTCAAGTTTTCTTGTCTCTTTTGATCTTTTCGTTGCTTCCCATTTAAAGAACCAAGGACCTGAATTCAATTAAAGTTGACGCGTGTGGAAGCAAATAGAAAACACAAAAGAGAATGCGAAAAAATTGCTTTCAAGACTTGACGTGTCTGAAAGGGGACTTAGAACTATTTAATTTTTAACACGTTTATATCAACTCGCCTTCTTGTTTATTAAGATTTTAGTATTATTTGTATTGTCCGTTTACCGATTCCATTTTCGGATACTTTGTCGGCGACCGAAACGTATGCACAGAAAAGTACCGAAAATTACTTGCTTTTCAAACTTAAGAGCGTGTCAAACGTGGCAATATTTCCAACTTTTCCACGCGATTCGCTGTCAAATTGAGAAAGAGAAATTGTATTTCGACGTGCGAATAGCCAAAAATACCTTTCCGATCAGTTCCTGAAATAAGAGATGCAAGGTGCGACTGCAACTGAAAGAAATCAAATCGATTTCGGAAATATATTTAAACTTGCTCGTGCTGCACTTGCAATTTTTATTTTTTCTACAAGTGCTGCCAAAATAATCGAGTGTTGTCGCGTGACACTGATCGCGAGTTTGTAAGAAATAATAACGGGCAATTTAAATAAAATATCAAAAATTCTTTAAATTAATTATTTTGCGGAATTTAATTGTTTAGTTATTATATATATCCTTCCACTGCGGGAAAAGCCAAAAAATGCTTTTAGAAATTTTCCCTGGAATTCGCCTTTCGGAAACAAAAAACCTCTTTTCAAAGACACTTTACATTCAAGTTGTGACTGCTCAGCAACTACTTTCTGAAATTTCTCAATTTGACTTTTTGAAATATATTGCATTGTACGCTCTACAGTCCGGAAGAAAATAACGAATATTTTAATTGCGCCTTACGGCATTCGAACCCGGCACCTTTTGAAAGCTAAAAAATATGTAGTAACACTACGAAAGACTTCGTGTATATGCTTTCAAATGTTCAGGTTGAACAAATAAGATAAAACTATTTCAAACGTTTTTCGGATACAAAAATGAATGAAAATTGACGTTGTCTTCTGTACGCTTCCGGGTACGAAAACCCCCATGTTTTTTGAACGGTTTTCAGAAAATTGGAACGTACGGAAACGTTTCCGGATACGAAAAATGTTCGAAACCGCTCTGTCGGCAAAATTTACGTTTCTCTGCTGGCTGGTGATACACATATGTATGTACAGGGTGGAGACCAATAACTGTTAACCAGGTTTTTTAAAAAATGAAAGGAGCCTTTATAGATTTTAGGATTTTATTGTTAATTTTTCACAGATTTTACTTTAATTTTATTAATTAGTTTTTAAATTTTAACCTTTATTTGGGTTTACCAGCGGTAAACACTTTTACTCCCCCTTTTGTCCAACATAAGGCCTCATACGCAGAAATCAAAAAAAAAAAAAAAAAAAATAATTGAAAAATGCAGTCTTTCATTGCACTCAATAACTGGTTTGAGACTGCTCAGCAGAATGGGAAGATAGTCTAAACTCTTCATTTAATTTGAGCAGAATTGCAACTCAAGAGTACAATCGGATGTTATTGCATCCTACACAATCACATTTCCGCGACCGAAGTTCCGCCGGTAAAAAATGCATCGTTCTTGCTGTAAATCGTTTTATTATCCATTCAATACATTTGTACCAGCCAGATTGAATTTCTTTTCGTCTGAAAAGATAACCTAAGTCAACTTCTTAATAGTGAATTTTAAGGTAAAATAACCATTTTAAAACCTTCGTGAATTCTGTCAATTGCCATGCTTTTGCTAGCGAAATCCTTTCGAGCAGCTTTAAAATGTAGCAAAAGACGCGGAGCCGTGATCATTTCACCATACTCGAGGTGTTAGTAACGTTTTAAGGCCCTCCAAATAGTTTGACGCCAACGGGATCTGAAGATTTTGCTGTTAACTGCTGGCAAATTGTGAAGGAAACCAACAATATTCGTACCCTCTTGCTTGACCTAAATCCAATGGAAAATGTGTGAAGAATATTGGCAAAGAAAGTTTATGCTGATAATCGCCAATTTGGAAACGTTATATTGCTTAAATTGGCGGTTTTGCAAGAGTGACATAAACTGGATGCCGCTTTACCGAAGACATTATGTCTAAGTATAAGGAAGCCCATTTTTCAGTTAATTAAAGTCAATGGAGCACAAATAGAGTATTAGAAGGACATATTTGCATGTTTTACTCATTTTATTGGGATTTCTTTTTTTGGATCTATAGTTTTGCAACAAGTAATTTTAAATTTTTTGAGTTCTTTTAAATTAGGTTATGATTATAAAAAAAAAATAACCACTCTATTATAATAGAGCTCTTACCATGCAAAAGTCATTGAAGAAAGTTTTGACCTAACTTGATTGTGACGGCTGTTTCAAAGACTTTTGTACTGGATTTATAATTATGCAACGGAGTGTATATAAAATTTTTCGATAGGAAACGTAGTTTAATTGTGGTTAGTTGCAAAAATATATCTACATATCATTTACTAGCAGACCTTGCGAACTTCGTTCCGCACAAAATACATTTTTGTTTATTAAAACTTTTTGGTCCAACATTTTCACCAACAATTCACGTCTACGATTTTCATTGGCACATTCATCTGCTAAGATTATGGTTTGGTGGTCATTTGCCGCTTTAAATAACCTAACGAAAGTGTTATGTGCGTGAAGAAGTTCTTGAAATTCTCTAATTATGCAGCATTTCATAGCACGGTTAATCGCAAAACGAAATAAATTTGAAGAAGCTTTTCCTCTTCACTCCCTGGCGGCAACAATGATCCGGTTCTATAGTGAATATCTCCTAGAAGCTTTATAGTATAGCGGGTGGCAATTTCAAAATGGGTGCGTATCATTGATCAACAGAAATCCTATATATGTACCTACACATACATATTTCAGATGAAATACCTTAAAAGCCAGTTTCACGAAGGCAATTTGAGTGAAATATTATTTTTTTTCTGTTAGGTTTCATATTAAATTCAAGTAAAAAATAAATTTTCGTTAAATTGCTTTCATGAAACTGGCTTTTGAGGTATTTCGAAAGGTGGTGATTTGAGATTTACCACTGCACAACACAACCCTGCAGCCGGATTCCAGCATACGCTATCGCTAATTTTGATCGCTAAAAATCTCCAAAAGAATAGCAGGCGCGCCTAACATCTAGTTAAATGCTCCTCATATTTCCAGCTTTGGTTGATTACACATTGCATCTGTTAATTTTATGTTGCGTGCTTTTAGGCCCCACTGATTTTCATTTAGAGAATTTCGGCGATGGAAATTTAGCGTGGCGATTATCAGAATTTCACTGCTGGGGTCTCCGAATGAAGCTTAAACGCATACTAATGTTGGCAAATCGCATCCATTAGGCTAATCGTAACACACGAGAGTTCGATATTCACAATGGTTCAACAGGTCGATTAAGTCTGACATTGACGGCAACTTTTATTTTTTGTCGATTTTTAGTTATAACTCGACCTCAGCATCACCTGGCAGCTCTTTTGGAATTGGACTGCCTTTACCGTTTCCAATACATGTTTTGAATATTCGCCAAATCGGATCATAAAAAAGATTTAGTAATAACTCCACTCCAGCGCCAAATGGCGGGTTAAATTGTGAAGCTAAACTATCCAGAGCCCCACTCAAACATACACAGAAAACTTTGTTAAAATCCCTCCAGCCATTT